TCGTGTGTTCTTGGCCCATTCCACGCGCTGTTGGATGCCCAAACCAGGCTTACATTACTGTACTATTTATAGCGTCACAGCATTTTCTACCCATAAGTCTTTGCGCAAAGTGTTTAAAATCGGAGATATCAACTTTCCTCACCAAATACATACCCTTCTAAACAAGGAGGGAATCATGATATAGGTGTCATGAACGGTCGTCAGAAGGAGGATCAGCTTTGAAAAATAACTGCAAGAGATAGAACCGAAACCTAACGTTCCAGTACACCCGAACTTGCACCATGCAATTCCTCTGCGCACGTGGGTATGTGGTAATTCATGATTTAGAGACTTCAGTGAATGGTCGTCAAATCGCTCTGAGCCATTAGTGTTGTTGATTTTCATTTCTGCTCGTTAATGAAGTAAATGCAACCAGATTGGTAATAGGTCGTCTACAACGTAATGAACTCATAAGGACTACTGACATGCTCATAGAACTCAACGAAATGTAGCCACTATATTCAATTCGTCTTCGTCTGTGATTTGCAGACTTTGGAACAGGTTTCTTCAGACACGAAATGTTTATGATCGGCCCCTTACAGGGCGCCCCGGGTCAACACTTCAAGTCAAGGATCGATTAATCAGAAACACGGCTTCACAAAATCGAGCCCAAACATCTAGCCAAATCGACCCGGATATGATTGGGAGATATATACCCCGTCCGCCGACGTCAAAGGTCACCGGCTACGTTAACCGAACTGGGTCAGGCGATGAACAAAAGTGTATAGGACTCCCTCAAATGGCATTGGGAGATTGATTCGAACCACGCCACGCCGAATAAACGAATGTTTGATGACACACCCATGTTATCTTTCTTGGTTGTTTGGGCCCTCAAAGTACACGCCAACATATTCTGTTGATTGCCATGTTACACCTATTCCTTCCTTTGTTTTAGTACCCATTAACTGCACTCGATACATTTCTGATTTCTGTAATCATCTGGTGTTTCGAATACCCCCTAATTTTCTTTGGAGAGTATATTATCTTCTTCTGTACAAAGCGCAATCTTTCAGGTGCGTATTTTACATTCAGAGTATTTGATTCGATATGGTTTCAATAAAGATGTACTAACAGTTAAAGTAACTCAGGAAGAGAGAGAGAGAGAGAGAGAAAGAGAGAGAGAGAGAGAGAGAGAGAGAGAGAGAGAGAGATAGAGAGAGAGAGAGGGAGAGAGGTACTTTTTAAATCGGTGTTAAACCAAACTAGCTCACTCAAATCAGTGAGTAATGTATCCTTGAATTAGCCCGTCCAATATATACAGTTCCTAAAATCACATACTCGTTCGTTGTTACACTGACCTCTGACTGGATGATGTCTTACAGCTTTATGACATTATCACGAAATACTAGGAAGATACCTAATTAGTGTTGTGAAGTCGTATCTCCGGGAGTGTCACAAAACCTATTTTCCCTTGGACTTTTTATTCTGACTAAGACAGATAATTTGATTCCTTAAGGTGGAGAAGTAATGACTCATTTTGCCATTGTTTCAGAAAAGTTATATGGACAGTTAATTAGAAAGCTATTCCTTGTATACTGGAGATTGTGATGTGCTTTCAGATTACACGTATTCCTTCCTTTGTACCCATTACCTTCACTCGATACATTTCTGATTCCTGTAATCATCTGTTGTTTCGAATACCCCCTAATTTTCTTTGGAGAGTATATTTTCTTCTTGTGTACAAAGCGCAATTTTTCAGGTGCGTATTCTACATTCAGATAATTTGCTTCGATTTTGTTTCAATAAAGATGTGCTAATAGTTAAAGTAACACAGGTGGAGCGAGAGAGAGAGAGAGAGAGAGAGAGAGAGAGAGAGAGAGAGAGAGAGAGAGAGAGAGAGAGAGAGCGAGAGAGAGAGAGAGAGACAGAGAGAGAGAGTCGTGGAACCCGTTGTATGTCGAACCATCCAGGCAGACGCTCTATCCACGATACCACGGAGGCGGTCCTCTGTTTGGTTGACATAGTCTTCAGGATGGTGTGCTCGTTAATTACAGAAGTGGGAGTCCATACATAGGGATATTCCTGGCGTCCATTGGACGACGACATGACTTTCTTAAGCATTAGCACATGTATATATACCTTGGATATTATTTCGCATGTATGCGTAAAAAGAGTGAGTGTATATGGTTTTACACCGGCTTTAGGAATATTCCAGTAGTATCATATCGGGGGACACCCAAGTTGGAAATCCAACCCGGGCATTCGCTGTGACGAGCGTCATCCCCATTACGAAGAGGAGACATACCCGAAAAAGAAGTGGACACCAATCGCATCAGATCATGTTGCTATCACGAAATTGTTTACCTGCTTCATAATCCATTTATAAAAATACGTCAAGAAAACACAATTCTGAAAATGTTAGAACTGATTAATCATTTCTGACATCTGAGAAAGATATTATCACTAAACCATGCGACCAGAAATATCCTGTCAGAATGTGTGTTTCATCCTTTGACGTCTAACACGGCAAAAGTAAACTGTTTTAGCAAGCTCTTAATCGAGATTTCTTTCATGTGTTTCTTCAATCTCTACAGTAAAATTGCCAAATATTGAACAATGATAATAAGTATCAAAAGAAGTGGCAAAGAAGTTGAAATTATACATTTTGTCATCTGGCAAGGAAGACCACACAGAACTGAGCGGGACATATGGACTGACGAATATCTTTATAAATGAGAAACCTTCCCTGTCAACTTCAAGGATGACAGGCATTGAATTCTTGGAAAGTGAACGAAAACACACCGTATAATATCTCATGAAACAGTGTTTGGAAAATGAAGGCAATTATAGTGTCAAAAATAGATTGTTTTGACAGCCCTAACTGTGATGATGAATAACTCCGACTCGTGTAATCTATACTGACAAAAACAATTATGGATCATGAATATTATTGGGGATATTCTTGTTGTGAAGACTGAGCACACAATTTCATAAAAATATACTCCAAAATGGTTATGATCTTTCTGTTCAGTATACACAGATGTTACGCACGTTTTGCTTTTGTTACTGTAAACAGGGAGTGAGTGGGTGAGGGACTACAAAACCGAAACCGAAACCGTATCTTTGGCGTGACGAGTGAACACTTTAACCACTGGGCTATCCTGTAAATGTCTAATAAACAATTATTTGTGTCAGTTCCTAATTTTTATATATATATATATATATATATATATATATATATATATATATACAGAGAGAGAGAGAGAGAGAGAGAGAGAGAGAGAGGGGGGAGAGAGGGAGCGAGAGAGAGAGGTACTTTTTAAATCGGTGTTAAACAAAACGAGCTCACTCAAATCAGTGAGCAATGTATCCTTGAATAAGCCCGTCCAATATATACAGTTCCTTAAAACACATACTCGTTCGCTGTTGTTACACTGACCTCTGAGTGGATGACGTCTTACAGCTTTATGACATTATCACGAAAAACTAGGAAGATACCTAATTAGTGTTGTGAAGTCGTATCTCCGGAAGTGTCACAAAACCTATTTTTCCTTGGACTTTTATTCTGACTAAGACAGATAATTTGATTCCTTAAGGTGGAGAAGTAATGACTCATTTTGCCATTGTTTCAGAAAAGTTATGTGGACAGTTAATTAGAAACTTTTAAGCTATTCTTTGTATACTGGAGCGTGTGATGTGCTTTCAGATTAAGAAACGTATTGATTGTATGTGATCGGAATCTGCATGGCATCTACACCATGTGTGCTGTAATTAATAGTGCTCGATCAACATGATGTTTGGGTAGGCATTAACATTGTGCATGTACATATAAAAACATCAACGCCAGAGCATAATCAGTATCGATTTTCTACCGAAACAGATTCATTTGGGCGTAAAGGGCAAAATAGCGGTGAAAATTTTATGAATTATATGCCTTGATCACTGATACACTTCCAAAATACAAAATAACGATCCAGAAGTAAAGGTTAACTCCTTAATTCTTCTGTTCAGTGGCATGTTACAAACTGGAACGATCCATTTACATATTTTGCTTTCAAATTGCCGATGAAGAATGTGAATGTCAATTCTAATTATTAAACTTATCGGTTATGCTCAGGAGATGGACAACAATATCTGTAATTCTAATATCTTAAAATGAGATTCCATCAGTTGATGAGATGATATCGGCCAAATGAAAATACGAACTCTTCCAGTCTTCAAAAACAACTGATAATGACACAAAAACAAACCAAATAGTTAATCAGTTAGCTTATTGAAACGCCGGAGAACAACCAGTCACGATCATCCACCGAAGCAGATTCCATCGGGCGTAAGGCGAAATAGCTGTGAAAGCTATATCAATGGAAATCTGAACATGACTATTACCAGGTGTTCCCTAAAAGGGTAAGCATGTCCGCCCCTCCCGGTAGCACCCGCCTCCCGCCTCTTGTAGGGCGCCACACTTCGCTTTGCAGAGTAACGTAACCTAGGCGTGCCAGGATTCGCTGTTGGTGGATTTGAATCCCATGCTAAAGTCGATTATTATACTTGTTTTTTTATAACCATTCATGCACGCTGGTTTCGTTAAAATGCAAACGTTACGTCGAGTTACTCACGAAGTAGCTTACAAAGAAAGGGGGGCCTGGGATGCCCAATCGTCTATGACGCCGCAGTTCGCTGTGCAGAGTTGCGACCCATGAAGCCTATGAGTTCGAATCCCGGTTTGCCCGGATTATTTTCATTGTAAGCAGTAATTCCGTGATATAACTGGAATACTGCTCAAAGCGGCGTAAAAACCAACCCACTCAATCTATATAATAAGCCGGTGGCTTTAAACCAAACACATACACAGAAAGGTTTTCTAAACTAGGCTTAAACGTCCTCTCACCTAACATCTTGATGACAGCTTTCCTGGCCGTGGCCTTAGCCGATTTCTTGATAATCTATATAATAAGCCGGTGGCTTTAAACCAAACACATACACAGAAAGGTTTTCTAAACTAGGCTTAAACGTCCTCTCACCTAACATCTTGATGACAGCTTTCCTGGCCGTGGCCTTAGCCGAGTTCTTAAAGCCAACTTCAGCAGATCCTCCAAACTGCGACTTCTTGAGGGTGATCCCTATCAGAATATACATGATGCTTATGATGCCCATAGGCAGCACGAAGAACACAAAGAAAGACACTTGAAACATGTGCTTCATCACATCAATCCAGGCCAGTGGAATGTTGCACTGTTTTGAGTCCTCTATTGGTTTGGTTGTGTTGGGGAACTTGAGATAGTAGAACACTCGGGTGTGGATTGGGTACGGCATGGCACTGGCACAGGCTACTATCCATATTATCACTATTATCCGGATTGCACGGGAGAGGTTGGATAGTGTTTGAGCTTTGATCGGATGACAGATTGCTACGTATCTTTCCACTGTGAAGGCAGTTATCGTCAACACTGAAGCGTAGGATGTCATTTCAGAAAGGAAAGATTTGAAAATGCAAAACACTTCCCCGAATCGCCATGGATACGCTTCCCAAATACTGTAAAGTTCCGGCGGAAGACCTGAAAGAACATGGGTAAACAGTCAAATACATGGTGGAATAAACATCAATCTTAAATTTCAACAACTAAAAGAAATACATATCTAACATTTGGTGGAGACCGGTCTACGTTGTGATGTCTGACGAGGGAACGTGTAATCTAGGTTTCTAGGGTGTCTTTTCCACTCGAGAGTCTGTTGTCCGACCACCTGGCCGCTAGAGTCGGTTGTACGACCCCCTGGCCGCATAATACCAAAATACTTTAAAATATGGTACTTGTTGTTACACTGTCTGGTGCTCGGTATTACTGGGATACATTGAGGACTGGTTGGTCATGAGTTAGTGTGCTGTGCCTGTGTCGCGTCTCTCGGTCAAACAGCTGCATGGTGTCTCAGTGGGCTAGAGGGGTGGTCGGGTAGCCTAGTGATTAAAGCGTTCGCTCGTCACGCCGAAGACCCGGGTTCGATTCTCGACATGGGGACAATATGTGAAACCCATTTCTGGTGTCCCCCGCAGTGATATTGCTGGAATATTGATGAAAGCGGCGTAAAACCATACTCACTCACTCAGTGGGTTCGCACTATAAAACCGGTATCAGTCCGTGCAGGACAAGCAACCACACACCGCATTTGGACGTCGCTACTGTGCAATACTATTGAAAGCGACGTTAAACCCGATTTTATAGCACCTCTATACCACTGAATATGTCACCCTTTACAATTGGTATATACTCTTGAAAAATGAACATCTGCAAAACACATTGCACCTCTTTAAAGGCTACAAAACTCGTCGGAGGAAATTAATAAAGATATAGTATACGTATAATACACATATGCACAATAAATCGGTCTTTAATGAACGTATTTCTGCAAACAAATTAAATTGACATTATATTCTCCAGACCAATGCGTGATTAGATTCTGAAATACACCTGCATCTGTTACTCCTGTTATGAATTTGTCTTTGAATCTCAAAGATGAATTTGAAATAGGATATCACTGAATACAATTGCAGACTATAATCGACAAACAGCCTGAGTCGGACTTAATATCAATAATTAAAAATTGTCCTGAGCATAAAAAGCACTTCTCTGGAACTACTCAAATAGGCGACATCAACGTTGCAACAAAAGCTTTTTCTATGAAATATATTGGTTTAGATGGACCGTATACACAATAGGTGAGCCCTCCCTTTGATGTTGTGAAAGCAATGAGCGATCATATTACTATGGAACGCTTCATGTCTGAGTATTCGGACCTCCTAATGTGTTTGGCTATTACCATAAGCAAGAACGACAAGAGGTGATAGCCAATAAACATCTTAAGGACGCTCTACATCAAGGTTGCAAATTGGGTAAGACACAGCCGTGGAAGAGTAGTCGATGAAATAATAGTTCTCAGGAGATAGGATGCGCAATTTTCGATAACCTTATTTGGTAGAGTGGTTCACCTTTGACAAGCAGTTATTAAGCGTCTAGCTCGGAGGTGAAGCCTGGAGATTATTTTGTCAGCCAGTGGTGCATAATAATGTTGTAACCAAGAATAAATGTTATTACATGTATTATCTGTAAAACTTTGTCCTATGACATTTATCCAAGTGGTCATGGTAAACTGAATAGCTGGACAAAGTGTCATTCTTTCTCGCAATCAGGAGTGGCAGCGTTCATACTTTTGTGACAAACTTGGTGACAGTGACACCGCGGAGAGTACATGAAGTACATCTGTGTGTCGAATGTTAGAAACATTCAAACACATAGGTTTGGAAAGGAATATCGTTTTGTTGATTAAATATATTTCATCACGTCATAACTTTTTAAAGAAACCCCAAAGGACCAGAACCATAAATGAGTTTCCTCATATTTTTGTAGAACATAACCCCTGCAGTAATTATTGTCTGACGTTCTGATATCATTATTTTTAAGTTTTGTGGACATTTTTTTGTAAATGTAGCTATAATATATAATTCCGGTTGTAATTGTAATAAAAACCGCTGCTTTGCCATCTCGGGAGAAGTCGGTGTATGTCGACAAAAAGAGAGGACGCGAGATGAAATGGGTTTTATGTCGCGTTCAAGATTATTGCACGTTTTCGTGACGTATAACGGGGCCAGAGGTCGAACCACCGACCTTCCGCTCCCTTGGCAGACGCTCTATCTACTCAACCATGGAGGTGATCTAAAAAGTCCGCACATAAACCAGTCTTTATCGAATAAGAGATGTTGTCATGTTTAGCCTGGCGGCTGATCGAATTGTTTTGCGAAATGTTCATGACATATTCTGTTCTGCGCCAACTAAATATCCACCGATAATCACATGACATCAACATTCATAACGTTTTACAAAATTAAAATGTAGGCCTAACGCCTCTGTTCAGTAGAAATATACGTTAACCTATTTCTTCGTAGACGCTGTAACCTCAAAATCCCACTTTTCACATCGTAGTTCTGGTTGGTGCATTAAACATGCAAAACAAGTCAGTATAAAAACCCATGTAACGTTCCTGGAGGAGAAATAAATGCAACGTACAAGACATTGAAAAATCAATTTCATGAAATAAACTCATTTGTTCTGTTTAACGTGACATTATACGAGATATTAGATGCATTTTGGATGTATGAGGCTCGAAAAGAAGTGAAAAAAATATCCAGTGCACTAATACTAATAAATGACTTTTTTCTTCTAGAGTATTATTCAATATATATAGTAGCTCATTCCCAAACTCTTAGTCAAGTAAAACTTTTGGAAAGGGTCAGAGGATATCTTTTGGCGAATTTCGCTTGTTTCCTTGGCACTGATAAAAGTTAACGCTAACGAAAACTCAGATGACTCTCTTATGGTGCAAAGCTACCTCGGATGAAAGACAAACATATTGTTGCACTATAAACGGTAAGTTCATAAAGGGAAAGCGACGCCTGAAGTCATCTGGCATAGAAAAAGGCTGTAAATTATTTTCTTTTAAATACATTGCGTTGAATACAATAAACTCGAGTTAGATGAAAATTAGTGTCCTACGTCATCTTTAAAACATTTTCCCGCTCTCACTTCCCCTCCAGGCGGGAAGAGGCCCAAACTTTAATTGATTCCAAAAGTTGAACAAATTCGGTGCAATCAAACGTGATCAGTGTTTCAAAGCTCCTGGCTCAGATGAATACGTAGTGTTTGGCATAGGCGGTGCGTTTCAAAGCGTTATAAAAGATAACCGAGAAAATGAACATGTAATGGAACTTTTACACCCCATCTTTACAGATTACCTGTCTTCAACAAGTGGAAAGCTCTATTGAGAATATCAAACCTACTGAACAATGCATTGCTCCACGCAGAGTATTTTATTACACACATGTTTCATTAAACTCACCATGTATCGATTGAAGGAATTCAATCCACAACAGAAGCTAATCAGTCGGCACAGCTGTCCGGAACTGATCGAAAATCACAGAACATGACAGAACATTACAAAACAGTCGTGTATCTTAGGAAGGATATAACCTGAGATCCAGGATGTGCGGACTTAAAACAGTTTGATGAGAACTTATTATTCATGTAAACTTTCATGAATTGAAGAATAAAGTAATGATTATCTTGAACCTCCTTTATCAATGGATTTCAAGAGTGTCTTCACTTCGTGAATTAAGTTTGAAGGATTCAGAATTCAAACTGACAAGTTTCTGATAGTGTTATTACCAAGTGAGCGATGACTAAAGCCTCTCCTGAGGGTATGGTCTTAAAACATCAAACGAGTGTTCAGAAAACTACGGATGGAGTTTCCACAACATAAAAGTGTGTGAAGATTACTCAAAAACATATCGTACAAAGTAAGGCCCATGCGGGACTTAATTTTCCTTAATTGAAAGTGCCCATTTTAAATCATACACTTCCATGTTTTCTCAAAATTATGCATCCCGAGACATGAAAGATAGAACCATTTTTGATTGTTTGACCGTGTAAATCACAAATGAAATCCAAATTGTAAAATCTACATGAAAAACATTCGTAAGTATATTCCGAATACACTTACTCAAAGTAACATAACAAAGACAGAGAAACATCAAACCAAGAGAGAACTCCACGTGAGACGATAATTTGTGTCTGTTGTTGATGAAACAGACTTCGAGTTCAATGTTAGGTCCTCTCCATGGACTGGTGCCTTATTCTGGAGTTGACGACGATGCTGTATCGAAATCAAAGGGGGGGGGGGGGGGGGACACTTCGCGATAACCAGATACTTAACTATAAGGATGAAAGGTTCTACACCCTCAGCTATTTGCAGATTATGGGGTAAATACTTTTTCAGATTTAGCTAAACCCTACCATTCTGAAGGGTTTGGTGATGCATTTAAAGAGGATATAACTAGTAAGGTGAAGATATTTAAACGAGAGAGGCCTGACGAGTACTTGGAAAAGGAATTTACGTGTAAAGAGATAAGAGAGGCCGTCAAATCCCTCAGCAGGAATACATCTCCAGGTCCGGATAAGATTACAAATGAACATATTATTTATTCCTTATGTATACTTTTTAATCATATGATGAAACTGCAAAATGTACCTTATGATTATAGACTTGGCATGGTCATACCAATATATAAGGTATTATGTCTCTGTAAGCTTTTTGAAAAAAATACTACTCAAACGTATAGAAGTCAAACTATGTAGGCTTAACCCAGACTTTCCTGATATGCAACGGTTTGGTTTTAGAAAAGAACATAGAGCTATTATTACATTATTTACTTTGATCGAGGGCATTCAATATTACATACCAAGGAACTCTGCAGTCTACGTAGCTTTCTTAGATAATGAAAAAGCATTCGATAGGATATTAGAGGTAACACATGAAAAATACTACATCATTGTTATACAAATGGTTATGCTTATTTTTCCAACCAAGGTGAACAATCAGAAAGATATATGGTTCAACAAGGTGTTGGCCAAGGCAGAGTAATCTCTGCTTGGTTTTTTCTTGCTTTTATAAATGATCTCATTACAGCCCTTAGACCAGCACAATGTGGAATACGTGCATATGGTATGGA